TGCACCCCGACGTCCCCGTCACCACCCATCTCCCCGACCTCCCGCCCAACCCCACGCTAACTGGGCCGCTCACCGACGCTCACCCGCACACCATCCGCGACGACATCATCCCCATTCACGACCCCGACTACCCCGACCCGCACCATTCCGACCAACCACGCCAGCTCAAGCACCATCCTGACCCCGCCGTCCGTCCTCGACCAGTCCTAGAGGAGCAGCATTCCGCCTATGTGTCAGAATCCTACGCAGACTTTCTCGCCCCCCTCCGCGACAATTCCTTCGCCGCAGACTGGGTCTTCGCCTGGGTTCTGTCCCAGCACCCGCAACACGACGACCCCAATCAGCTCAACCTCGCCCTGTCGCGCGGCTTCCGCATCGTCTACATGTGCGCCGAACGTGGCTGCCATCCTATGCAAGACCGTTCCGCCCTCCAGTCGTGTGCCACGCTTCTCGTACCATGCCAGACCCGTCTTTCCGTGGTCGCCGGCCACTTCATCGAGCTCGCGACTGATGACGCCTCCAACCACATGCGCACCGGAAGATACGTTTACTTTTCATCAAGCAGGGAGCTCGTCAAGGTCTCCAAAGTCCGCGGCCCGGTCACCGCCGCCATGCTCTCCTCCGTTTGCATTAACAGGATATGTCCCATTGGCTCAGGCAGCATTGTCCAGGACCATGTCGTCGTCTCCTTTCCATGGCACCGAAACGCGGGAAAAGTCCCTGCGCGCTGCGTCGCCCACTCGAGGACCCTTTCGTATTCTAAGATGCTACAGACGGCCAAAGATGCGGGATTCGCGGGATATGGCGGCGTCGGCGATGTCATGCCCCTCACCCCAGAGTCGGGTATTGCGAGGGTGCTGGAAAACTCGTTTCATGGCATTGGCTCCTTTGGCGTTTTTGCCTCTACTATCGTCCCGTCGCGGTTCGGCTTTGGCGCAGAGGCCGAAGGCCATCGCACGCCGTTCGAGGTCGGGCAATGGGCTGTGCCATCGCATATGTTGTCGTGCCGCAATTTCCGAACCCTTCTTCTGGGGATAGAGGCTAACGATATCACATCATTGCGCTCGCACTTTGTCACCATGTACGGGCATGTGAATGCCCAAGGGACTAGGCCATTGCGGAGTAGTGTGAATTTGAGTCATAGACAGAATCAAGGGGCCACAGGGGAGGCAGATATTCGCGGACATCAACGACTGGAGCCTGGGGCGCCTACCCAGAGTTCTGTGCGTTCAATGGAGTTGCTATCTCTGTCTGCTGAGAATAGCGGCGTGGCTCCCATCACTGAAGCAGAAGCTTTTAGAGGGGCGAGGACGACGGGTATCGGAAGCAACCCTCAACCGCCACCACCTTTCGCTATGGGGGCACCACGGGCCGAGACAAATGTAACGGGAATGGGAGAAGTGCGTGGCGGGCCATCATCACAAAAAGGAGGTCGAGATATGGGTTCTCTGCCAACATTCGGTTCCTCTGGTCTGCTACTCCCCATTCAACCGCAGATGGACGTCCCTCGGACACAAGCATTCTCTTCTGCCGTTGACGAAGCGTTGAAAGTGGGTCCTAGTTCTGTTGTAGATACAATTGAAGCGGCTGTGTCTGTAGAGCCTGTAGCAAGCTCACCTGGTGTGCATACCGGGGCGACATCGGCACTCGTCGCTCCTGGTGGCCCGAGTAGCGGGATCACACCCGCGTCGGTGGGCGGAAGGGTTCAGGAGGGAGGAGAGAAGAAGAGCGAGGTAGTTTCTGTAAGCGCTCCCACATTTAAGAAGACGCTTCCAGCGCCGACCAAGAACGAGATTGTAATTAGGAATCGGATATCTGCACAGAGAAGCAATGAAAAGCGGCGACGGAAAATCGAGGCGACGCGGACTGAACTCGCATATCTGCGGACGACGTATTTGCCCCAATTGCAACACAGACGGGGTAGTCTGCTCACCGAGAACCAAACTCTTCGGCAGAGGTTTATGGAAAAGTACCAACAACAAGGAATTGAGTCGTTTTTTTAGGTAGATGGTGGCACTCTTGGTGGAGGTGTGTGAAGGCATTCGTTGAGACTAGTGTACATACTAACACAAAGACTAGCTAGGTTTTGCTAACTCTACGTTCTTCGAAATAACTGGTCAGCAATCGGGGCGGTTTGGGGGAATCTGAAGTAGGAGGTAAAGAAAATGGAGGGAATCGTTAACACCTTGGACATGGTTGGCGTTGAACGTCCCTCCTCTCTTTTGCCGTACAGCACGGAGCGCACAATGTTACGTGAGTTGTCTTTACATTGCTCTTCATTTTGGTTGAATGAATGACAAGGTGTACATCAGAGTGCACCGAGTGTTGAATTTGAGCGTTTTACAAAATGGGTTGGATTCAAAACTAGAGGTATCAGGATTAAAGTACGTGTCGTGTTGTGGGGCATTGGCTGTGCAGGTGTACAGAACTCTTAGAGACTAGGAGGCATGGTCTTGAGGTGCGAATGGTAGGAAGCGGGCGGTGGCCATGGCGAGATGGCATGAGGTTATCTTATCGAGAAAATATGGAGCGTAGTACGCTCTACGTACGCGCAGCGTACGTATCTCATACTGTATCGTGCAACTGCACTACAGTACTTACTGTACAGCGGGCGTCCCGGGCGAAAGGATGTGACAAGTTCGCGGTTGCGTGAAGGTGCAACATATCGACGAAAGTGTACAGGGTGTACAGTTCGTTTGGGCCAACTGTACACATCAACCGTTCCTACAGCTCTCCCGTACGGGCAGTTCCGGCCACGAACGAGCCGACCACTTCCGTCCGCGCTTCCGTCCGCGCTTCCGTCCACCCTCTACGTTGAACGCGGCTACTACAGTACTGAAGTGTGGCTCAGAACGTCTCTGTTTTACGGTAAAAAATTGCCCATTTCGGCGGCAATTACACCTTATGCATCTCTAGCCCGCGTATGACTGCATTGCTGCTGCTGTAGGACCCACGGTACTTGACTGTATTCACCTCACGTCCGGCCTCACGTTTCCAACGATGCTTTTTATTTGGTAACCACATCGGTATGATACTGCCCGGAAGAGCAAATTCACCCGTACAGTATGAATCTGATGCTCCGCCCAATTCAAGCGGCTACTGACCTTAACCACCCCCGTAACACACCCCGGGTCTCTTGTTTACCGACGTCGGTATTGAGGTTCTTTCAGTTTACCGGGCCCGCTACAGTCTAACTGGGCTCGCTACCCAGGTCGGTAAACGACTAACTTAAGTTAGTAACGTGGGTGTCCGCACTGCCTGGCCGCACTTACCATGGCAACGTGTACATTGCATGGTTTCATTCGATGCCGACCCCCCTTACATCGCTAACCAACACCACACCCTCTTCTGTTTCAGCTTCACTACCATCCTCCTCCTACTTCACTTTGCAAACCCTACCACAGCCACGCCTCCAGACATCTGCCCTGCCCCGTCTCTTGACCATCGCATCTTCCACCGCAGTCGCCGCCTTCGTTCCTCCCATCCCACAATGGCAAAGCTGACCGACGAGCAAAAAGAGGCATTTGTCCGCGACGGCTTCGTCATCATCCCTGCCTTCGTCCCGACCAAACTGGTCGACGCCGCCGAGCGCCGTATAGACCGCGCCTATGAGAACGGCCGTTACCACGAAATGACAAAGAAGCTCCTCGGCCGCGATCAGCCCACCCCCAACTTCAACAAGGGCGTCAAGCAGTCAAACCAAGTCATGAACTTGATGTACAAGACCGGTCTATTCGAGATCGCGGAGGAACTGCTCGGCGAGGGGCACGCAGTAATCCGCGACGACCTCGCCCAAATCGCCGTCACTTTTCCGTGCCAACATTTTATTGACGAGGGCATGGATATAAGAGAGCCTCAGCCGAAGCGCAGGTGGCACATCGATGCGGGGCAGGGCAAATACGCCGCCCAGGGGACCGATTTTTCATTTTTGATGGGCGTTGCCTTGTCCGAGGGGCAGGAGGTCGATGAGAATCGAGGCCAGTTTAATGTGTGGCCCGGTACGTTGCTCGTTCGCATTACAGGAGGGTAGAGTTTCGCAATGTGCGGTACTAACGGCTGATCGTTTGTGTTTTTGTGAGCCGCAGGATCTCATAATCTTACACATCCGGCTCTGGCGGGAGCCTTCCAAAACGTACGCCCTGCGCCCATGCAATGACGGATGCGTTAATAGTCTCTTTACCTTGCGTGTGATGCTAACAAGTGATTGCTGTTTTTTTTTTTCCGTTGCACGCGACTTTTGTTCGCGGACAGCAGTCAGACAGTAGCGACGTAGTGAAGAAGTTTCTGCAGGAATCGCGGCCGGATTGCGGGGAGCCACAGAGAGCGCTCCTACACCGCGGGGATGCGTTCATCGCACACCAACGGCTTGCGCACGCGCCGGGGGTGAACTTGTGGGACAAGCCGCGCAAGAACGTGTATTTTAGGGTTATCCACTCCCTGATCGACGATATCTTGGAGCAGCAGATGTCCTCGCCGACCCCGTGGGTTGGGTTCTCCGGACTGGAGGGATTTGTGCCCGAGGGCGCGACGGAATATGAAATTTAGACCTCTCGTAGGAGAGCAGTTGGGAATGATGCTGTTTTCTATTTCTTGATGGCGCATTGTGTGATCTTGGGTGATAAGTGACGCCTAGGTCGAGATGGCGCTTTCCCAGGTATAATTCAGAGAGGTACGGTATTTTTCTTGTAAATGCGTGTTTTAGTAGGCAGGGTGGCGGCATGCGGCATGTGTGGGAATGATGTCGTGGGAGATGCCTGTAATTTCTTCGGATTTGGAAGCATTTGCTCATACAACGGGAGTGGGTTGAATTGACTGTGACTGAAAGCTGTGGCGATAGCAGCAAGCTATAAAAATGCTGGGCGGCTCTGTCTGCTAGCTTTCCCGTTGGGCGTTGGCGGCGGGGGTCCCACTCTCGTAAGTGTTGACAGTTTTCAAATAAACGGGTACCTACCTGGTAGGGTACTGCGGCACAATGAGGTGATTACACTGGCGGAACGAAACTGCATATGCTACCTCTCAGAGGTAGGTTTTCGCGGCACCCCTGTTGTCTATATTTTGCTTGACGATGCTCTACTTCTGAGGCACTGTTGAGGTTTTTAAAGTGAGACTGTACCGCGCGCATGAAACTAATGTGCAGTTGCCTTCCTTGTACAGTAGCGGCTACCTGAAGAATAAACACACACTCGAGTGGCGAAGAAATAGGGATGGTCGCCTCTATTTTAGAGGCGGCAAAAGCGTACATCTACGTACAGTATGTATGTCACTTTGGTGGAACTGAAAAGAGCTATGCACGCAGTATGCACGCAGGGCCTCTCTAAGGATTGCGTGGACGGTTTGATGTCAAACATTTGATGATGTTGACATCAAATGTTTGACATCAAACCGTCAGCGTGAGTTAACGCCAAGGAAAGGATTCTCAAGAGCAAGGTGTAATACGTGTCCGACGACAAGTGTCCGACGACAATGTGTGTTTGAGCTCCAAGTTGCAAGCGTTGTTTCATTGCTGGTGTGGTGCCATCCCGTTGTTGAACGATGCGCGAAACGCATTCGACGCGAAAAGCGGTCGACTTCGTCGCGGGTCATCCATCACCGGCCACTGCCAGCGACGCCCCGGTCAACAGCGCAAGTGCGCTGGTTGGGTCACAGTGTCACTGCAGCTGTCACCGGGTCTCAAGAATCCGCCCTTTATTTCACTTCATGACCGCGCCCGTTTCCCACATCCCACCCTACACCGCACTCTCTTCCACACTGTCAGGTTAAACAAGTCTTCTCCACATTGTCGCATCTATCCCGACACCCGCAAGAGCAGTACCCTCTGTCAACGCGTTTCCGCATAGGAATGGACACCCTCGCACTCTCCGACCAGCAAAAGCGCTCCTTCGTGTCCGACGGGTACGTGATCCTGCGCGATTTCATCCCCTCCGACAAGCTTGAAGCCGCCACGAGCTTCATCGACCACGCTGCAAGCGACGGCAAGTACCAGAAAACCACTCGCAAGATCCTCGGCGAGGACATCCCGGTTCCCGACTTTGACACCGCCATCAGGAAAGCCCCGCAAGTCGTCGAGCTCATCTTCCGCACGGCCTTGCAAAACGTCGTCGCCGATCTCTTCGGCACCGACCTCGCCGACGTCACGGGCAATGAGGGCCACATTATCTCCATCCCGCCCTGTCACACGCACATGCAACGCGCCAGGCCCGTCGATGACCGCTTCCCGAAGCGTCGGTGGCATGTCGATGCTGGGGACGGAAAATACCGCAAAAAGGGCTCAGCCTTTTCGCTTTTGGTCACCGTTGCTCTGTCGGAGGGGCAGGATGTAGACGAGAATAGAGGCCAGATGATGCTATGGCCGGGTAAGTTTCGCTTGCATAACGCAGTCCGCCCGTTTTGTCCATCTGTTTCTTTTCAATCAAGTGTCTGACCTATTTCCTTCTCAAACTTTCAACATAGGATCCCATCTTATTACGCACCGCGGAATTGCAACAGCTGCTGAGACGGTGCGTTTCCCCTTTCTCTCCACATATCAGTTGCCTGCTATCTTCTCAATCATTCCCTGACCCTGCTCACCAATTTTTTTTGTACTGTTTATACTCGCTTTTGTCAAATGCCATGCAACTGATGTAGCATGCTGATGGAAACGCACTTCGTGAGTTTTTGAAAGAGAAACCGGATTGTGGAACTCCGATTCGAGCCCTCATGCGGCGCGGTGATGTGTTGATAGCACATCAGCGACTTGCACATAACCTCACCTTAAATCTGAGCGAAACAACCAGAAAGAACGTTTTCTTCCGCGTTGCTCATGCCCTGATCGATGATATCGTCGACGAGCAAATCCGTTCTCCAACTCCATGGGTTGGATTCGAAGGTCTCGCCGAATTTATAGAAGAAGGAGCAGCAGACTTTGCAGGGAAGCGAAAATCATCAAAGAAGACCGAAAAAGCATCTCCAGCTGTCTCTTCTCGAGAATTTTTTTCTGGAGGCGATCTTCGACTGACACGAGAACAGAAGGAAACTTTCATCAAGGATGGTTTCGTCATGCTGCCAGAGGCTGTTTCGCAGGAGCTGGTGAAGACGGCCCTCGACTTTGTCAATCAGTCCTATGAAGATGGCAAATACAATCTTAATGGCGCTACAAGGCCTGGTGCTAAGCGTCCTTCTCCCGCTTTTTATAAACCGATACAGCGGGCACCTCAAATAGTAGACTTGTTTTACAAGTCTGGACTGGTCGGGGTAGCAGAAGAGCTACAAGGGAAAGGAAACCCCATATTGCGAGCCAAAATTGGTCAGGTCGCTTATAACCCCACTTGTGAACTTTACCAAGAGCAAGGGAAAGATAAAACGAAACCACACCCGAAGAACAACTGGCATATAGACGCTGGCAACGGAAGATACGCTGCCCTAGGATCGGACTTTTCGTTTCTAGTAGGTGTGTGCCTGACTGAAGGTCAAGATGTTGATGAAAGTCGTGGACAGTTCACCGTTTGGCCAGGTATGTTCACCAAAGAACCTAGGTTTACAAATCACGGCACGTGCCTGAACGCAAAGTGCTAGTGTTTCTGACCCTTGTTTTCTTTTCATGCCGTCCTTTGTTAGGGTCTCACTTGATTACTCACCCTGCGATGGGGAAAATCGTAGCAACGGTACGTAACATCTTCTTCCCGCACGTAGAAATGGTCGGTTGATGGCAAGAATTGTACCTGACTCGCGTGTATGATGTACAATTTTCTTGGCAATGAACGCAGACTCCTCCGGATGACATCGTGCGCACTTTCAGAGCAAAGCGGCTCGATGTTGGGTATCCGAAGAGAGCCCTCTTGCGCCCTGGAGATGCTATGATAGCTCACCAGAGGCTGTCTCATTGCGCCGGGATTAACTTGGTCGACGACGTCAGATGTAATATATATTTTCGAATCATGCATCGCGACTGGGATGACCTGTTGGACGACTTTGTGAAGTCACCAACTCCCTGGGTTGGGTTCGCGGGTCTTCAAGACTTTTTGCCAAAGGGTGCGACTGAGTGGGACCGGGAGGGAGGGGCTAAAAAGGGCAAACATAAGCTTGCTGCCAGTTCCACAGGAGAAGGTTGCGGAACTCTGAAGCTAACGCCCGCTCAGAAGAGGTCGTTTGTGAAAGATGGCTACGTTGTTTTACCTGGAGCAGTGTCTGCAGAAATGGTGGGACAAGCACTCGCTGTCGTTGATAATGCGTTTAAGAACGAGAAGTACGCCAGCAACGGGAAGAAGCGATTTGGTTCGAACTACCCTTTGCCTTTATTCCAGAAGCCTATCAGAAGGAATCAGAAGGTGAGGGACCTATTCTTTAAGAGTGGTCTCGTCGATGCATCTGAACAACTAATTGGGGAAGGGCACGTTACCCTCCGTGAAAACATGCCTGATGTATCGTTCAATGCGCAAAGTGAGCTTGCTGCAGAGGAAGGGATGGGTTTAACAGAGCCTTTTCCGAGCCGGAAATGGCAAATGCAGTCTGGACAAGGCTTCTACAAGGGCAGCGGAGGAGATTGCAACTTTATGGTTGGCGTTGCGCTGTCTGACGGCCAAGATGTGGATGAGAATCGCGGGCAGTTCACCGTGTGGCCGGGTAAGTTCCATGCGTTTTGAGGTTTGGGGATTGAAACGAAATACCATCATCTTGAAAGGGCGACATCTAACCATGTCTGCGCTCTGGACTGACTTTGTCGGCAGGTTCCCATGTTATTATTCATCCCGTTTTGTCCCAGCTGGTTCGAGAGGTAAGTTTCTTCATATGCCGTGCATTCACCGCGAGGGGTTTTTTTACAACCCTCCCACCCTTTCAGAGGTTTGGGAGTTGCCCTCTGTAGAGCACAAATATATCTAACGTGTGCAATGATTTTGTACGCAATGCCATGGGCTCGAAACAGGATCCGCCCCCTGACCATCTTTTGAAAGCCTTGCGGGCTAAAAAAATTGATGTCGGCTCTCCCAAACGTATTCTACTTAAACCAGGGGATGCGTTTATAGCACATCAACGGCTAGCCAGCACACAGGGAATTAACCTGTTGAAGAAAGTGAGGAAATCGGTTTATTTCAAAATTGCTCACACTGACTACGACGAGATGCAGGACGAATTCCTGGAATCAAAATTGCCGTTCACTGGCTTTGAACCGCTTCAGGACATAGTAGCTGATGAGTTTGGGGGTTAATTCTGCAACTAATACTTCTGTAAACATTCAGTTTGGGTTCAGGAATTCTGTTTCTGAAAGAATACAACTTTCGTTCGGCTCTGTTGCCAAGGTCGCCAGGGCTGCTCGATCCCCGATAGCTGCACCGCACCTGCCTCAAATTGCACATGCAGTACCCTTGGGTACAGTACAGGGTACACAGGCAATGAGAGTACTACTGTATGATAGGGCTTTTCGACCACTTTTCGTGTCGCAAATTCAGCTCCAAGGCCGGAGGGATTGTCTCTTGGAAATCTCAAGGGAATTTAAACTGTTACTCTGCTTTGCTGTGTAAACGTGGTTGCGGTCACAGCGAAAATCTATCTTTGAGCTTGCATGCCCTTCGCTCCGTTATTGGCATTTGCAGTCCTTGGTGTATGGTTGTCTTACTGTATCAGGGTACAGCTGTCGAATCACCGAAAAATGAGTTTCACAAGGAAGGATAGGGACGATTTCGTACGTGACGGATATGTCATCTTGCAAAATGTCGTTCCTGTGCAAAAAGCCCGCGATGCTTTATCGTACGTGGACGAAGCGTTTGCAACGAATAGGTATTCAGTGAGAGAAAACAAAGATGATAAGCTGCCGGCTTTTTGGGACAAGGAGCAAAATTCCTCTGTGTTGACAGATCTCGTTTTGAAAACGGGGATCTTACCTGCCCTTGAGCACCTTTATGGTACAGGAAACGTTGCTATACTTGGCAATGCAGGCCAAATCGCATTCCGCCCTCGCAATGATAGAATGATTGCCAAGGGGTTTCAAAAAGCTCAACTGATGGGCTCGACTTCCTGGCACATTGACGATGGACCAGGAGGCAAATACGTCAAGAGTTCATCATGTTTCACAACGCTCGTGGGAGTACCTCTGTCCCCTGGGCAAGAAATCGATGAGAATAGGGGGCAGTTGCATGTTTGGCCAGGTAGGCGACATCTTTTTTTTTAACTTCTGCCGCCGTTTCGCTGGTCATTTGCCTCTGACATTGTCTATCACTGGCATGTCTTTCCTGATACACTGTAGGATCTCACACTGTTATACACCCGATCATATGTGAGAGATTGGACAAGGTGGGTCGCATGTGTTGAATACATCAGATTTCGCGAAATGAATTCAAGGCGTGTCCATTTTTCCAAAAGCTGTAACTGACAAGGTCGTGTCCAACTCAAAATCACCTTCTTGCTGCTTGCAATCACAGGGTTTGACAATTCAAAATGGGCACAGTCGATTCGGGTCTGACCGGCCTAAGCTTGGGCAGCCCAAGCGAGTGTTGATGCGTGTTGGCGATGCCGTGCTCGCACATCAGCGTCTAGGCCATGCTGGGGGTATCAACATGGTCGAAGAGACTCGGAAGACAGTCTACTTCCGCATTTTGCACAAGAGACACCAAGACTTTTTGCCTGACTTCCTCAAAGGGGATGATGTTTTCACGAGCTTTGAAGGCTTGAAAGGTTGAACACGTCTAACAGAAGCGCAACGCCTGTGGCGAGCGTCTCTGGGGGGAAGGGGCGTGCCTTGGTAGCGGCGAGATTGCATTTCCTCATTGCAATCTATGGTATTGTTAGAGCTCGCGGGTCCCACAACACACGGGGTGCTCTCCGAGGTCAGATCTTCGGAAAATCAAAGGAGGTGGGGCGCGGTGGGTTTGCCGACGTCAATCGACGGGCATCTCAACAGCAGCATCAAGCTTTTGGCTTTCCAAAACACGCTCCGCAATAGCAGTGCCCGCGACGTATCCACTCGACCACGCAAACTCCAAGTTATACCCGCCGGTCTCTCCATCGACATCCAACGTTTCCCCCGCGAAATACAGTCCATCGACCTTCCTGCTCTCAAACGTCTTCGCATGTACGTCCTGCAACGCTACTCCGCCAGCCGTAACAAACTCTTCCTTAAACTGTCCCTTCCCCTCGACCTGGAACACGCACGCATGTACAGCATCCGCCAGCCTCTCGACACTCTCCTTACTCATGGCGGCCCACTTCTGCGCAGGGCCCACCCCCGCCCTAGCGACGAGGTACCGCCACAGCCTGAGCGGGAAGCCGCGCGGCAGGGGGTGGGCGTTGGCGACATTCTTCTGCCTGCTCGCGGTGCGCGCGGCGCGCAGGGCCGCGACAAGCTCGTGGCGCGAAAGCTGAGGGCCCCAGTCGACGACGCAGGTGCAGCGGTAGCGGCAGGCGTGCATGTCCCTTGCGGCAAAGGCGGAGAGCGAGAGTACGGCGGGCCCGGAGAGGCCCCAGTGGGTGACGAGCAGCGGGCCGCGCTTCGCGTGGGTGTTGGCGCGGGGCGACGCGGGGCGCGGCGGCGGGAGGCGCAGGCTGACGCGGACGTCGGGCACGGACACGCCGGCCAGGGCGTGCAGCGCGGGGTCGGGGACGCGGAAGGTGAACAGGCTGGGCACGGGCGGCACGACGCGGTGGCCGAGGTTGGCGGCCCACGCGTGCGGGCGCGAGGCGGAGCCCGTGGCCACGAGGACGTAGCGGGCCGGCAGCGCGGGGCCGTCGCGCAGGATGACGGAGAAGAGGGGGCCGTCGCGCGCGAGGCCGACGACGCGGGCGCGCGTGCGGAGACGGACGCGGGCGCGGCGCGCGGCGCGCAGCAGGGCGTCGACGACGGAGGAGGAGGTGTCCGAGACGGGGAAGACCTTGCCCGACGGCTCGACTTTTAAAGGGACGCCCTCCGCCTCGAAGAAGGCGACGACGTCCGACGCGGCGAAGCGGGACAGTAGGGACGGGAGCAGGCAGGTGCCGCGCGGGTAGTGCGCGGCGAAGAGGGAGGGCGAGTACCAGTCGAGGGAGGTGGTGACGTTGCAGCGGCCGCCGCCGCTCACGCGGACCTTGTCGAGGGGGGTGGACGAGGCCTCGAGGATTGTTACCGGGGTCGGGGCGAGGCGGGCCAGCGTGATGGCGGCGAAGAAACCGGCCGCGCCGCCGCCGATTACGACGACGGGCGGGCCGGCGGGCGGCACGAGGGAGAGGGAGGGGCGGGGCAGGCAAGAGGGGTGGGGGCGGCGGGTGGGGGGGCGGAATAGGGGCGGGGGAAGGAAGAGGGGGCACGGCATGGGCATGACGCGGGGGGGGTGACGCAGGCGGATGACGGGGGCAGTTGGGGGCAGCGGTCGGATGAAGAGGGTGGGGCGATGACGCGGGTGGAGGTGATGGGGGGCAAGGTGATGGGGATGGCGGCTGGCGGGATCTCCGGGGGCGTGGGGGCGATGCCACGTGGCCAGGTGTCGGGGCGGATCGGGGTCGGGAGTGATTTGTTGTTTCCGAAGCGGAAGGCGGCGCCAAGCGTCAGCGCCGTGCTCGTGCGTCCCGATCGTTACAGCGGCTGGCGCGTCATCGCGGCCCGGCCCAATTTAAATTCAAAACCGGCCCTCCGCACTCCCGCCAATCGCATCGCCCCGCTGCATCATCGCGCACCTCAATCGCATCTGCCCTCGCCCCCCTCCGCTCTCCGCACGATCCCCCCAATGCCAAAATACCCACCA